GTTTCCTGGTCATCGATCGTTGTTGCTGTGGTGGTCGATAAGGAGCTCGCACAAAAAACTCTGCTGCTCCCTCATTGCTCGCCATCGCTCGAGCGAGTTTTTTTCCGTCGAGTGCTCATGCTCACCAAATTTTGCCCGACTCACTCAGAGAATTTGTGACTTTCAACCAAAGCAAATTTTTGCTCAAAGCATTCTGCTTGCACACTCATAAGCCCTACCATTCCGTGCTGACTCGTCAGATGTTTTCGTTCATAGAAATGTTCCTTATTAAGCATTTGAAAGCTTCCGCGCCGATTTCTGTTTCATCGTTTTAGTTATTATGTGATGATTTGAAATATACGAGATGTGTGAAGCGTTTTGAATGATTGCGCGTGTTCGTTTCAAACTAGAATATTATTGTCTGTGGTCTTTGAAGCTGAAATTTTGTTTGATTTGAGGAAAGTTAAAAGGATGATGTTCATGACAGAAAAAGACACGTCGCAATCAGCATCCTCATCAATGCCATCCGGATCAGTCAGTAGCAGCACTCCTTCGACAGCAACGATTCATCAGCAACGTAAGGCGCGTCGTAAATGGACGTCTGCATTCCGTGTAATGCAATCGTTGCATCGTTTGAAACACCCGCCCATGCATCACCACCAGCATCACGCACACCATGAGGTCGGTTGCTCTTGCTTGGCCACTTCTGATTTCAGCTTTTCAATCTCTTCTAACGCTTGTGTGCTATCTCAAAATTGACTAAGCTCGAATTCAGTTGAACTCAAGTGTTCCACTCATTCTTCATTTCTATTTGTATTCAATTCAGTTGCATTTCATCAATTCCATCCATCCCATTCTAATTGAACCCAACCCACCGACAACACAAAATGACTAGCAGACGGGCCAGTCTACCTCATACCCCCCTACCGTTGAACTTTCAACAGTCACATCAACATCCGCATCGACTCCACTCACGCACATCACAACCTCAACTTATCCTCGATTATCCCACCAGTCAACACTCTGATAGCAATAATCATTCACAACATCTCTTTTCTGATGGCGGTAACGTTTCTAATAATCGCAATAGTGCATATCGTCATGGTTCATTACTGCCTTTATCGGATGCTGCGCTTCGCTATGGTGCAGTGCAATTCCCGAGACGTGAACTATTCGAGCAATCGCGCGGCTCTCAGCCCCAACTCTCGTCTCGTTCAAATCGTACTTCGCGACCGGTGATCACCCCAAAGAACTCCAAGTCCATATCTTATCAAACCAAACAACCAGCGTATTGCGCATACGGTTCATCAGAATCACTTCATTTTGTAGCGTTGCAACACCAACGCCAAACCCAATACCATCGACCATCGTTCAATATTCCATCGTCGTCAATCATTCCCATTGATTCTCCACCCTCATCCAGTCTACTTACGCATCGAAAGAGCAGCACTCAGTCGAAATGCTCATCACCGAATTCTCCAATTTCCATTCACGTTTCCAAACATTTCACCACAACTTCACCACCACACTCTACACCAGCAGTAGTCAACGCTGAACATCCCAAAAAACCACCCCCTGATCGAAGAATATTTAAACGTGCACCAAAATCTGATCTTGCTTATCGATTTCAGAAACACCTCGATCACTCAGCTGAATCAACGCCGCTTAGAGGTAAGCCGAATGTTCATTCATCATATTTCAGAGGTAACTCTTAATTATAGTGGGCTGTGATAATAGGCGATGACAATTGCTATGTTTCTCAGAAGAAATCCTAGCGATGGATTATGATAGAGGAAGTATTATGATACGTTGCGATGAAGTTAACGTTCGCAACTGCTGACGGCAATCTTGCTCTGTATCGATTGTGGATGAGTGTCGTCGAGTGCGTAGCTGTTATATCTTTTCACATGTTATATCAAAACTGTTTCTCAGAAGTTTCAAGTGTCGTCAGTAATTAATTCTTCAAGGCAGAATGAGGCTTCTTGCATCCACTCGCTATTTCAAACAGCTCATCACGGACTGATTCTGAGATGAACAACTGAACAAAAAAGCGAAATGCATATGCAAAGGCACTGAATCAAAACTGTATCAAAGGATATGCATAGGATTCTAGTAGATGACGAAGAAGCGCTATAGAATGCGATTCACTGATGTCATTTTCATATATGGCCGTTGTGTTTCAAACAATGCCCAAACACGCCATTATTGCTGAAACCTAAAATTATTGCTAAGTTTCGGTGACATTTCTGCAAAATGATGAAGCATTAATGTGGAATATTTGCAATAATTTCATCAATAAAGTTCATTTGCACTATACATTTTATCTTCATTATCAATTGAATTGTTGTAATTGAGGGACGGAAAAAAAATCAATTTTGCTCGGTTACGAAGAATGCAGAGACATCATTCAGTATTAATATTAACGATCACTCAAACTAATTAACTGTGTGTCGAACGCGGCGGGATTGCATCGTTTTGATGATTACTGATGTTATTAGTCACTTTAATGAGACTGCCTGCGGTGTGGAAATGTAAAAACATTGTTCGAATCGAGTGAAGCATACTTCCGCATGTTTATGTATTCATAAAACCGAATGAGTTATAACATAAAGACTACTGTCAATTTGGCTAAGCACTGATATTGTCTTGTACTGATCGTTTTGACGAATGATGCTCGCTCGCAAAATGGCACTTGAATTGACCGAATAGATATTGGTAGATTCTTTCTGAACGGAGTTGATCATAGTATTGTAGAGTGATTGTGAGCATCCGAACAAATTCTGCTGAACAGTTGCTGTTTGCAGCGATCTTTCGTTACTTGTTCCAGTCAAGCCAACCGTTACGAGATTATATTACGCTGGCTCGATTGTTCGAGCATGTGTATTCATGCATTCACATTTGCATAGATTTGTGTATTTATTATGCACACTACGTAAATAACAATAACAATTTGAGGTTTTCATCCATTTGAATAGGTAGGTAGATCTGTCAAAAGACTCGTCTAGTAACGATGCTATAGGACATTCCTATGCGCACTACAAAAAAGTCCACTGCTATTTCGAAATGAGCAGAATGGTTCTTCAGTGCCTCTAAGAGATAACTCAGTAAAAGAACGCCATAAATAACGATAACAGCCTGGATTTACACGATGATTGGAAATCAATTGGAGAATAAATTGCATTCTGAGTCATTCTAAAATCAAACGTTTTTTTTTTTGTTGATTGAAATGAGTGTTCGAGAGCAATGAAACGAGACTATCGCGCAGTCATTGATTATTGTGTGCAATGGGTGTGTGCATGTGAGAATTTACAAGCAAATCTGAAAATTTTGATGTCGTTTTTTGTCTCATTTCAACGATCATACATTAGCCATCGTTACTGATTCCTAAGAGTTATGCAAAAAAGCGCAGATTATATTCAGAATTAATGTAGTTGACGGTGACCCTTGAAACTATATGGTGCTCACTGCTGAAAGCGGAGAAATAAAATGCATTTCAAACAAGCATATTCATGCACTCATATTGAATGTAATCAAAATTGCATTTGCAATTCCCATTAACGCATTGCTTATGAATGTGTCTTTATGACACAAATAAGACGATTGATTGCTTGATAAGGCATTTTAGACTATAAATGTTGAATGGGATCAGAATAATGTCATCGTCATCACCAGTCTAATCTGAAATTTATTAACTAGCGCTTTCTAGGAAAATTCATTTGCTCTGAAAGCAGTCAGCAAAAACTTTGAGTTCATTCGAGACATCTTGCATTGAGAGCACTCG